GCAGCTTCTGCCGACAAAGCTGCCGCCGTTCCCCCCTTCCCTGGAGGTGCCTGGGCCGCCGGCCCGAGCCCGGGCGGGGGGAACTGAAATCCTGCGGGACGCCGGGAATGGGGGGCGGGAGGGGGGGGGGGAAAAAAAAAAAAGGGAAAAAGAAGAGGCAGAAAGGGATAAAGCGCTGGAGGATACGCTCAGTAGGAACATCACTACCCGAAAAACCAGTCCGTGAAGGCTTTGATTTTCCCTTTCCTGCCGGGTTCTCCCGCTGCCCAGGTTTCCTCCTGCTCCACCCGCGCATCCTTGAGCACCTGCGGGCCGAGCCCGCGCGGCTCCTCCTCGCTCGGTTCCTCAGCATCATCCCCGCTGCGAAACAAGGGAAATCCCAGGATATCCTTTCCCTGCAACCTGTCCCCGAGCAGCCCGTTCTCCTGTTCAGCAGGAGGGAGGACGTGTCCTTGCTGGGCTTTGGCAGTGCCCTGCGCGTCGCCCGCTCCAAAGAAAACCTCCCTGTTTTGTCCTTAAAACGAATTAACCCCCCTCTCTCTTTCGGGCTTCTGTAAACTTTCCAGGCCGAGTGAGAGCAAGAAACAAACCCAATATTGTTTCCAGCCACGCAGCCCATTTTGCCTCCATGAATATGCTTCTTTGTACGGCCCCACAAACGCTATGGTTGCATTAAACCCATTTTTAAAGCGCGAACCCCGCGCTTGCACAGAGGTGGAAAATCCATCCTCGTGCTCCTTCCAAGGGCTGGGCTGGAGACCACTTTCCGCAGAAGCTTTGGAATATCATCTCCAGGCGCGGCAGAGGAAAGGAGGGGGAGAGCAGGGGTGATGCCGGGACACCGGGAACATCACCACCCTCTCCTTTGCTTTCTGCCCAGGCCAAGGGGCTTCACCTGGCACCAGCCTCCAGCTGGCACGGCTGCCTGGGCAGGGGCTCCGGGGGAAGGAAAGAGGCTCCAGGAGAAGGAAAAGGGTTTCAGGGGAAGGAAAACGGCTCCAGGAGAAGGAAAGGAGCCGCATGGGAAGGAAAGGGACTCCAGGGCAAGGAAAAGGATTCCAGGAGGAAGAAAGGGATTCCAGGAGAAGGAAAGGGACTCCAGGAGAAGGAAAAGAGCTCTAGGGGAAGGAAAGAGAC